CGGGGCCACCTGCGCGAACTGGCCCATGTGCTGCAATCCAAGCACCGGGACAAGTACCTGGTGAGGAGCGGGTTGGCCAAATTCAACCAATGAGAGGGCTGGGAGGTCCAAATGAGCAAGGCTACTGTTTGTCATCAGAAATGGATGAGTTCCAGATGATTGCAATCTTATTTTAGAGTAAGATTGAGGGTCCACCTCCAGCTCCTCTGTCTGAAGTTGCCTTCATCTAACTCTTCCCTTTATTTCAGCTCTTCAACCTTTCAGAGAAACGACATGACCTGACCCGCCTGAACCCTAAGGTAGGAGGCAAAATGGTCTGTCTGGCCTTTAAGCTGAACCAACCCTATGAGAAGGCCCTGCCTCCTTGTTATTAGTAGCAGCTGACATCCATTTTACTCTTAAGCACCTCTCATATGACACACCATTTAAGATATATGAAAACATGGTGCAGTATGGCTGTAAAGTGTCCAGGCTACTGTGGGACCACTAGCAAGCCCCACTTTGCACCAGGGCCCCTGTTTGATGTTCATACCCTCTCACCTCCTTGTTCCTGCATACGCACGCACGGATGCACGCACGCACACACGCACGCACACAATTCTACCCTTGTATTTCCCCAGGTGCAGGACTTTGGCTGGCCTGAGCTGCATGCCCCACCTCTGGACAAATTGTGTTCCATCTGCAAAGCCATGGAGACATGGCTCAGTGCTGACCCTCAGCATGTGGTCGTGTTGTACTGCAAGGTAGGCTGGGACCTTGGGGTCACAGAGCTGAGGCATCCTCATCCTAGAAGAGTAGGCCCAACAACCCTATCTCTTTATCTCTCAGGGGAGCAAGGGCAAGCTTGGAGTAATCGTCTCTGCCTATATGCATTACAGCAAGATCTCTGCAGGGTGAGTTGCCCTGTCCCAGTGGCCCTTCCTCACCTGGCCCTGTCTGAGTTTCCCTCTTTAGTCAGAGTCCTACACTATAAACTTGGTGTGATACTGCCTGTCTCCACTTAGGCGCCCAGGACTCCCCAACAGATGAGCTGGGCTAGTTTCCTAGGGCTGTCAGCAAAATGCCATAAACTGGCTTAAGATAACTCAATTGTCTCACAGTTCTAAGATGTTAAAAATCCAAAGTGAAGGTGTCAGTGGGGCCTAACTCTTCTCTGTGACTCTAGGCAGACTCCTTCCTTGCCTCTTTCCAGCTTCTGGTGGTGGTCTTGGCTTGCAGCAGCATCACTCCAACCCCTGCCTACATCATCACGTGGTGTTCTCTTTGCGTCTGTTTCTGTTTCTCCTCTTCTGAGGACCAGTCACCCTGAATTCAGGGCCCACCTTGCTCCTGCATGATCTCATCTTAACCTATCTAATCACATCTGCAGAGACCCTATTTCTAAATAAGGTCACATTTGAGGTACATTTCTGTGGGGGAGGGACATAATTCAACTCATCAGATTATCTAACTGCCCCACTTTACAGGTGAGAAAAGTCAAATTCAGGGGGTAATTGCCTGAGGCCCAACAACTGGGACACTGTACTGTAGGGCTGCTAGCTCTCTTCACCATTGGGGGTCCCCTCTACACTGAGGGGAATCCCATGGTTCCTCCTTCCCTGGGGCTTAGGTGTAGAAGGCCAGAATGAGACTGATTCCTAAGCACCCCACCCGCCCTGCTCTCCCCAGGGCAGACCAGCCCCTCCCAACTCTCACCATGAGAAAATTTTGTGAGGACAAGGTGGCCACGGAACTGCAGCCCTCCCAACGCCGGTGAGCAGCCCAGTGGGGAAGGGCTGATTCTCCTGCTCAGGCAGCAAACTTGAAACCCACAATGCACCATGCCAAGTTCTGGGAACCGAGAACAAACAGGGTCAGGCTCTCATGGCATTCACTTGCTAGTGGAGTGGAAGGCAAGAAGCCACACATAAACAAATGGACTGGCTCACTCTAGGTGATGGCAAGGTTTGTGAAGAGAGTAAAGCAGAGGCCTGTAAGAAAGGCTTCATGGGGCGAGGGGAACTTGCCTCCTTGAAGTTTGGAAGGACAGTCTGGGTCTCTCAAGGTTGGGTGGAAGGTCTGCACTGTTGAGTTGCTGATGTTTTCCTTGGCACTCTCCTGCCAGCTATGTCAGCTATTTCAGCGGGCTGCTGTCTGGCTCCATCAGGATGAACAGCAGCCCGCTGTTCCTGCACTATGTGTTTGTGCCCATGCTGCCAGCCTTTGAGCCCAACACAGGTGAGTCCACCTGAGATGTATTCCATGGGGGCAGCAGCCATTTTCCACCTCCCTTC